TATGGGATCAAATATTCGTGAATAATATTATCTTACATTCAGTCCCCTCCAGTATTAATTTATTTTAGGCAACTTTATTAAACAAGACAAATCACCTATTTGCTCATTCCTAAAGTTACAATCCCATGAACATAAATAAAAATCATTTTGAGACATCAAAATATTTTATTTTATAAGAAAATAAATTTAGAAAAATAATTTTTAAAAATCACCCGTCGACGGGAATTTAATATCTTCATGGGATATGCATTATAAATTAACTCATAAAAATGTGTATATTGGATCCTATCTAGATATCCATCATTTTCCTAAATAAAATCTAATTTCAGGTTGTATAGCACTTGTAAAACAAGTTTAACCATCATATTAAAGTATACTAAATTATCAAATCGAAAATGACAATATCATCAAATCTAAGGGACCACGTAACAATTTGAATTCTCTATCTCTTAGGTGACTCATCCTAGAGAATCCAAATAAGATCTTGTGCTACACATATCAAATATGTGCTTATGACATACACCCGGAGAATCTTTATTCCTAATAGTTGAGATCAACATCACATCTCATATGTCGTTGTCATGCATAATAACCTGTTATAACAAAGTCATCATTTACTAGTTATATATTAAGCACAAATTTAAAAAATTTCTGAATTAGATTATATCTCCAAACAAGTAACCATCACAGTCCATGATCTAATAAAGTAATATCTCTAAGCAAGCGACCATCACAGTGCATGATCTAACAACTCTATCCATAGCATTTAAAGGTAGAATATTCTTTTCATAACAATTAGGATAGAAATAAAATTGTATTGCATGTAAACCTCTTATAATAACATTAGTGAGACCAATTGGGTCCCATATCGAGTATCAATTATTAATCAAATTAATAAGTTTAATTTAACAGTCAAATCCTTATTCGATCAATTGTTCATAAAAGTTCTTCCATAATATGGGATCAAATATTCGTGAATAATATTATCTTACATTCAGTCCCCTCCAGTATTAATTTATTTTAGGCAACTTTATTAAACAAGACAAATCACCTATTTGCTCATTCCTAAAGTTACAATCCCATGAACATAAATAAAAATCATTTTGAGACATCAAAATATTTTATTTTATAAGAAAATAAATTTAGAAAAATAATTTTTAAAAATCACCCGTCGACGGGAATTTAATATCTTCATGGGATATGCATTATAAATTAACTCATAAAAATGTGTATATTGGATCCTATCTAGATATCCATCATTTTCCTAAATAAAATCTAATTTCAGGTTGTATAGCACTTGTAAAACAAGTTTAACCATCATATTAAAGTATACTAAATTATCAAATCGAAAATGACAATATCATCAAATCTAAGGGACCACGTAACAATTTGAATTCTCTATCTCTTAGGTGACTCATCCTAGAGAATCCAAATAAGATCTTGTGCTACACATATCAAATATGTGCTTATGACATACACCCGGAGAATCTTTATTCCTAATAGTTGAGATCAACATCACATCTCATATGTCGTTGTCATGCATAATAACCTGTTATAACAAAGTCATCATTTACTAGTTATATATTAAGCACAAATTTAAAAAATTTCTGAATTAGATTATATCTCCAAACAAGTAACCATCACAGTCCATGATCTAATAAAGTAATATCTCTAAGCAAGCGACCATCACAGTGCATGATCTAACAAAATAATTTCTACGGATAATATGACAATTATATCAAAGATACCCAAACAACAGGTGCAACAATAAAACTTAATTCATATTCAATAAAAATGTATTGGATGTTTAAGGGCATATAACACTACTCTAGCACATGTATCTATATGATGATTGTTACCGTTTATTTCTTGTTTTATGTCAAGAGCAAACGATGGTTGACGTCAAATGCGTTTCCAAGCTATCTTAGCTTTGACAGATATTCAAATCGCTACAGTTCATATTATCAATGCGGTTAGATCGTGGTTGCACAATATTGGATGCATATTACGTTAATGATATGCCGGCTAAAACCACAATAGATACAGAAACCATCTTTTAATCTCTTCATATAAACTTTTGAGGCTCATGCCGCCAACATCCACCCACCATAAAAGACCCTATTTTCACTCATCATTGCTTCTTATTAGTCAAGGCTTCGTCTATAAACTCCTATAGTACTTTTATTCAAGATAGATAGTAGTTCTTTATTCAATAATAACATCATTGTGATCTTAGAAGCCTTTGTAAGTACAGATCCAGATTCCCTCTGGTAATTAGAGATGATCTAATTACTCTTAAGGCTTACTGCCCATTTCTATTTCAAGGGATTAGATAATGCCGCATCGGATTTTCGCTAGCTATCCCAAAGGTGGCTTTTATAATAGTAATTTTCAAGACAATAGTAGTTTACGGATAATGGAATCATAGATGACCAATTCTTAAAATTGAAATATACTGTTAAGAAGTGTAATTGATCACCCTCTTCAATTATCACATGATTGGAGAAGATGTGTGTACTCAACAGAAAATCTAAATGAAATACTCTCATTTTCTATTTTTGCAAGTTCCTAATCTATTCTAGAGGAGATGGGAAATAATTTTGGAGAGCTTGCATGGAAGACAACCTGGCATTCACTTATGAAAAGGAAAAATCCACAAATGGATGGCTTTAATCATTTCTTATATGATAAGATTTTTTAATGAATGTGCATAGGCCAAAAAACTTTTGGGCCACTCTACAATTATGAATCTATTATGAGATGAGGAGACCTCGTATCAAATGGCTGTTTCAGTATAAATTTTCAGATCTAGTCTTATTTTGATATTAGGTGTTGATGACAGTTATCGAACTGGGGGTTATCTGAGAGTTTTGGAGTGATTAGAGTCCTCTAACGCCTCCTGATGAATGGTTCTGGGGCTTCCTATTCTTCCCTGCACATGAAAGAACTCATAAGAGGACGGAGTTGGGTTCTCCAATTGTTCCTCCGACGATCAAGTCAGTAGGTGATTTTGAGTGGGGAAGTATGGAGTTAACTCTTAGTTACGTCAAAAGACCATGGGCCGAGTCTAGCTAAGCAGCTGAGTCGGTAGACATGTGCTACGCGTCGATTGTTGAAGGAGATGAGTTACTTGGTCATTTATTATGGGAATGACAACAGGTGCTTGGTGCTAACTTGGTCCGATGAGTCATAAAGGCTATGAGGGCTAGAGTAATGATGATATTGTCCGGGCAGATAATGCAAGAGTAATCGGCTGGCGAGGGGTTCGAGGTAACTATCATCTTTCGACTCCTCAGGTCCAGAGCTGAGAAGTACCACCTTTTGACTAGGTTACGCGAGATGTTGGCTGAACAGTAGGCCGAGTCGGGTCAATTATGGAATCAATTGAGGGGTTAGCCGAGTAATACCGCCTTTTGACTCGGTTACACGAGATGTCGGCCAATCAAGTCTGTTGTGCTGAGGTGGAGGTTATCTTAGTATTGAATTAGTCAGCTTAGGTATAGTGTAAGACACGTGTCGACTTTTCTGTAGAAATTAATATTTAGTATTTTTAGGAGTTATAACATTAGGCTTTCTTCACTATGTTTATAAACTTAAGCAATGCTTATCAGATCACCCCTCAAATTTTTTTTCTGTAAATTAAAGATGTGGGGAAATGGGGAAATGGACAACAGTCTCCAAAACTCCATCCTTGCGTGAAGCTTCAATGGACTTTGTCGCTATAGCTTGTTGTGATAAAACTCTGACTTACAATAATCTGACTTACAATAATCTAACATAAAAAATAAATATTAGAAAAGGTTAGCACGGTAAGTGAATAGTAAATGGATAACATGTCCTTTTTCTAAGTTGCAAATCTTGACTTATAGACTTTATTTATATTAATTAATTGCATGTAGTGAACATAGAGATTATAATTGAAGGCAGTCATGGCCCCACCTTAATAAGCTCAGCCCAAACAAAACCCGTAAAAAATCATACTAAACTTATTTATTTATACAAGTAGAACCAATAACCTCTCTTCCTTAAAGCACTTGCTTTCCTTACCTACCAACACATTAATATTTAATTTATTACGTACATTGATTATTGCTGATTATGGCAGATAATCTCTTTCCTAATAAGAAAAGATGACTGTAAAATCATATTATATAATCTCTTTGTTCACATTCACAAACTTTAAGGATTATATAATAATGAAATTTCTATTTTCCACTATCAAAGAATGATACATATGGAAGCATCTAAATTGGTTGATGGTAGTACTATCAATAATTTTGTTTCATGTTTCTGAGCGTGAGCTTTCAATACGAAATCTCGATATCCTTCTGGTGCAGTAGGTCCATTTTTTTTCAAAACTTGCTAGGTTATTGTGGACTATGTGCTGAATGTTTATTGTGAGTGGACAATTACAAATCCTTTAAATGGTTTGTGACTAGTGTGAAGATGATAGGGTACTAGTCCATAATTTGATGACCGTCTAGATCCCGTTACAAGGCATCTCTTCTTTTGTATTCTTCCATAGGCCCATTCATTAACTTCTCAGCTGGTACCATGAGAGAGAGAGAGAGAGAGAGAGATTAATGGGTATCCTTGTCATAGGAGGGGATTTCCTCCTATGACGCCTCTAAAATCACATGATTGAACGACATTGTGGATGATCCGCTCCGTTGAACTTGATCTACATATTCTAAAACCCTAACACACCAAGTTTGGGGTGAATCCGTCGTTGTTTGACCCTCTATCGAGCCATGTGAAAAGTTCTATTCATTCAAAACCGTTAAAATTGATACGAGTGGATTGATACGAGTGAATTAAAAGCTTTATTTTCTGGTAAGTTTACTCCTTTTAATTGTTGGACAAATTTATCCATGTCACTTTACTACTATTTCTTTGTCAACATTAAAAAAAAAAAAGAATTACCATGTTCCCACGTTCCAAATTTAACACTCTACACAAAACTCTTAATAAATACCCAGGCACTCCAAAAGGCTAAAGGTCCTCTTCTACCACTGTCAACGGACGCCAGCTCCAATTTAAATACAGCAGAATCTCTCTCTCTCTCTCTCTCTCCACCTCCCTCCTCCCTCCGTCGTTGTCTTCTATTGCTTCTTTCTTTCTTCCTCTTCGACTGGAGTGGGATTCTAGGGTTACGTTGTCGAATCGAAGTCTAGGGTTCCGACTTCGGGTCCTTCGAACTGGTGAGGTGTCCTCTCGCTTCTTTTTTTTTTTCGCCACTTGAAAGTGTGAATTTTAGATTCTTTTATGCCACCCTCGGTGTTGGTCGAAGTATTTAGCTGTCTGTGTCAAAAAAGTTTGGATTTTTTATGACGCTGGTTGCAAATTGATGGGAGCTTGATCAGCCTGCAATTGGGAATTGGACAATTGATGAGTAAGGGAAGGATAATTTTGGTTTTGGTTAACTTGATTCTGAAATTGGAGTCGGAGCTGGGCTTCTTGTGTGTGCTATTAGGATTGTTTCTGTTGGTTTGTAGGATATTTAGATCAATATATACATATAGATAAAATGTTGAGGATGAGTTGATCCTGCTTTAGGAACTACTTCTTCAACTATTAATTGGTAGTCGTATGATCACATGATCAAATTTTGTGAGGTGTTATCTGTAATGAATTAAATTTCCTGCTGTTTTGATATTGGAATTTGATTGAACTAGTTGGACTTTGGAAATTGGTAGAAAATGTTTATTTTTTTCATTTACCCATGTGAGTTCTTGGTGATTCCTATCTATTTTTATCTCTTTTTTTACAGAAGGAAGGTGTGAGTTCTTGGTGATTCCTATCTATTTTTATCTCTTTTTTTACCGAAGGAAGGTGAAACTAACCTTCAAGGAGGTGAATTGGATAACCATTGTTGAGAACAATGTTAAATTTATGGTAATTGGTGTGCTGTTAGGACTGGAGATTTTTTTTTTTGACTTGGGTCTTGTGAAATAAGAGAAGGAATTTGGGTGTTGCGAGGTGCTTATGTGTGATAATGATTATTTCTATCTGTTGTAGACTTTCTAAAGAAATATATGGGTAAAAATGAAGAACTAATCTTTCTTTTGAACTACTTTGGAGTATAATTTGTCAAAGAAAATTTTAAGATTTTTTACTATTAAAATCCTTGTTCCATATACAATTAAGAACCTATTAACTTTTTTGATACATTAAATTTAGGATCCATGCTAATGAATAATCTGTTTTCTAGTGTCAGTAATGATATTTGATTCATTTTGTTTTTAATACTGGAATTTCATTTATTTGTCAAGGCGTTCAGAAATTGGAGTCAATACGTTTGATTGGTGAGATTTCCATGTGGTTTCTAGTGTTGTTATGTTTGGTATAACTCCTCCATCGAGTTGTTTGTCAATTTATAAGTCACTTTGATCTCATTTAAGCTTAGCCGTTGCCCACTTTATTCTAAAGTGGACTTCCTAGTTTGTTGGTTAATGTCAGGCAGACTTGAAGTGAAATGAGAAAACAAGTGTGCTACAATACCCTTTGCATGTTATGATCATAGAATTATAATAGAATCAAGAAGTATTACTTTCAGCAATTCCTTTTTCTTATTTCTAAATGTTCTTTCCCTTGTCAAATTGCAGAGACTATGCTATAGTTCAGTCTGCAGACCCATTAAAGAGCAGGTAGGCTGGCATAAAGATCCGTTTGTTGTTTCTGGAGCTCCTTATAGGCGAAGGAATCTATCTCATGAATCTAACATGGTAGATTATTTTTGTTAGACCCTTCAATTATCTTACTGATGAAGATTGGAGGCAATGCATGGGAGATTCCATCTGGATCCAATGCCCGTCATGGGTCAAATGATGCTAGTCTCTTTTCAAGCTCATTGCCAGTCCTTCCTCATGAGAAATGTGTGTGACTGGTATTTTTTATTTTCTGGGTTCTTTATTACTCAATTTGACTTTGTGCTTTGGCATTTCCACGTAGTGAAATTTGCAGATACAGATGGAGTGCAGTCTGTGGATGACGTCTCATATGAATTAGATAAGCTTAAAGATGCTATGAATGAGGTTGACCTCCAGGAGCTTGGGAGCTTATTACCTGATGATGAGGAAGAGCTTTTAGCAGGCATTATGGATGATTTCGACCTTAGTGGATTGCCAAACCAAGTTGAGGAATTGGAAGATTATGACATCTTTGGTAGTGGAGGAGGCATGGAATTGGATTCTGATCCTACTGAGAGTGTAACTATTGCTTTGGCAAGAACAAATATCAATGATGGGCATGTGGGAAATGGCATTAGTCATTATGGCCTTCCAAACGGTGTCGGAACTATTGCTGGTGAACATCCTTATGGAGAGCATCCTTCTAGGACATTATTCGTGAGGAATATTAATAGTAATGTTGAGGACTCTGAATTACGTGTTCTCTTTGAGGTAATAATTGTACTGTTCTGTGAGTTCCTTATAGTTTACTTATATTCCTGTATAAATTGATCTGATATTTCATTTCGATGTTTTTGCTAGAATGTGATACAAATTAATGCACACATCTCAAAGATACCCTTCATGTGTAGCACGAATCTCAGAGCAAATTCAAAGGCTAAAAAAGTTGGTGGACAAGAGTTTCTATCCACTTAAGTTTATAGGAGCTTTACACACACGCACACATATATTTGTAGTCTTGTTTAGCTGCTTGCATGTAATGTTTCTTCGTCATATTCTGACATGCATTTTTTACATTTTAAGTTTTTGGCCTGATCACTGTTCTTAATATCTAATCTGCTTCTCTGACCAAGTTGCTTCTGTGAGAGAGTGTTCATCCCCATAGTTGGTTGGTTTTGCTATAACTTGTTTAATTTTAGTCAAGAGGCAGGATATGTTTTCTAGAATTTGTTTAATTTTGGCATATAAATTATCAAAGAGAACTGTTAATAGCTTGCAGTGCGTGCTATGTATAAAGAATTGTGGCTCAGTACTTGGTTGACGGTTCATTATGGATGACCTAAATTCTTCAAATAGTGTCATTAGTAAGTTAGACTGGCATAAGCTGTGGGAAATTAAACCTTTGCTATACTACTTTACGTGTTCTTTACCATTCCAAACTCAACATAATATGACATTGTATAGTGGATTAGTAAATTTGAGGATGGTTGTAGAGATTTGACTCTTAGCATTTGACTCTGACAGATGTTGAGTTAGTTGTTTTAATTTAGTCAATTCTTATAATGAAGCTGCTCAATCCAAGTACTAGTTGTTGCCACAGATATCTTATGCGAAGATGATGATTCATACCAAATAATTTTCTCCTTTCAGTCGCAGCTGAAATTTGAATTGTTATTCGTTTGACTATAAATGGTGGATGCGTTTGTAGCTTCTATTACTAGAAGAAGCTCTCTTCTAGGCTCAATGAGACACCCATGATTATCAATGATATCAATGATTATTTGCTCGTGGTTATGATGTCTTTATAATTTCTATTACTAGAATAAGCTCTCTTCTAGGCTCAATGATACACCCATGATTATCAATGATATCAATGATTATTTGCTCATGATTATGATTTTAACCTGAAGTCACATTTCATGTGGAGGTATTTCAAGCATACACTTATAAATGGCATGTACTAAAACACTCACAAAAGCACACATCTACATATTATATGCACAAGTTGACACAGACAGAAATACATTACATGAATTACTAGGCACATACGTGTCTTTTGTGTTTGTGGTTACATATTTATATATCCATAAACACATACATCCAGGTGTGCACAGGCATATTTTCTGGATTGGTTGTTGATCATGTATTTTTCTCTTACAAGTTTCCTTGTTGATTAATTGCAGTGGGTGATGGAGACCTCCTGTGAATTTATATGCTTTAGGCACAATCGTGCGTTTTAACTGTTTCTCTGAATTCTATCTATTTCCTCTGCTGGATTTGTGCGCGCGCGTGTGTTATTGCTTGAACTGAGGAGTGTGTTCATATAAATAAAAACTGAGTTTATTCATAAGAATTTAGAGGTAACTTCAACTGTGTTGGAGAGATCTCTTTGAGATGGTTTAGCCATATGCATGGAGAATAGTATGATGTCTTAACTGTATGTCTTAGAACAATATCTAAATGACTGATGTACCAAACTAGAAGCAGATTAAAGCAGTCTGTAACCGTGTCATGGAGAAAAAGGATTGCATTTCTCCAAAAAAGTTAACACGCTTTTAAAGTTTTTGCCATTGTTGTTTCTTTTATCCATCACTTTCATCAATAGACTTTGTGTAGAAATTATCACAGCATGATATGCCAGTCTGATGACTCCCCCACCCTTCTCCCTCCTTACTGGCCTCCTTCCTCCCCTCTTGCTACCCTTTGTTATTATCTGTTTACTCATTCTTCCTTTGAGGCACCACATCCAGAGTGGTTTCGGGAAAAAAAAACAAGGAACAATAATCTATTGTAGTATTTTAAACCTAATCTGCAAAAAGAAAATGTTCCATAAAACAACATTTCATTTACAAAGTATTTTCTAGCATAGCTTTAATTTTGTTTATCTTGCTCTATGTGTAAATCATAAGTAGTATATAATCTTTGAGCTAATATTCATTATAATATATTTTTTACCAACTTACATTGAAGAACTTCCATTTGCGTCACCATGCATGTGCATGCCTATAAAGCTACAACAAATATATTTGTTATTTTGTACCTTTTCTGATCCATCTTTTACTTCCTACAACACCACTGCATCATAGTTGCTTACATTTATCTGTTTTGTGAGCTTGTATTGTTTAATCTTACAGCAATTTGGGGACATACGCACTTTGTACACTGCCTGCAAACACAGAGGTTTTGTGATGATTTCTTACTATGATATCCGAGATGCCAGAACTGCTATGCGTGCATTACAGAATAAGCCTTTACGACGACGGAAATTGGATATTCATTTTTCAATTCCAAAGGTTTGATGTATAATACATTGTGACTTAGATCCTGTTTTAATTTGTATATAATACACTGTGATTTATATCTTTTATTAGGATAATCCATCGGATAAGGATATGAACCAAGGAACTCTAGTAGTTTTTAACTTGGATCCATCGGTCTCAAATGATGACCTTCTTCGTATATTTGGTGTATATGGAGAAGTGAAGGAGGTACAAAACGACTCAATTTTGTTTAATTTGTTGCAGGGTTTCATTTAATACATTGAAGATATTATTTATCTAAAAACAACATTCTTTCAGATAAGAGAGACGCCACACAAGAGGCATCATAAGTTTATTGAATTTTATGATGTCAGATCTGCAGAAGCAGCCCTTCGCTCATTGAACAGGATAGACATAGCTGGCAAACGCATAAAGCTGGAACCTAGTCGACCTGGCGGAACCCGTAGAAAGTTAGTATATAAATTTGGTCGCTATCTATTCTCATTTTTGTTTACACTAAACAGTTTATTGCTAACAACATTCTTCTTCATTATGCATTTCTCTTATTAGCATTTAGTGCTGTTTGATCTATCTGCACCTTATTGTTTTGTAACCTTACCGTTTGAAATTTTATAAGTCAAAATCTTTTGAGTCCTGTATAATTTTTTTTGACTGAAAAAAGTTTGTTTCTCCTAAGCACATTGGTATGAAGATGGGAGCAAGACATAATACAGTTTAGAGACTAGGATAAAGTCAACACAACCTCCAACTACAGATTTCAACCTAGTCAACTTGAGCACCCCTTTTCAGGTCCACCAAGATAGCATCATTTTCAGTGACCTGCACTCAGGATCAATGCTGCCATATCTATTTCTCTCATTAATTACCATATTTATAATAGCTTATGTAAGCTTATGGATCACAATGACGCCTTTATTTTTCTTGTTAAATATTTATTTGTTTGTTTTTAACCTATTAATCTAAAGGTACTTTATCACTTTATTCAGTATAAAAGGTATAAGCTATTTAGATGCAAATGGTAAAACTTTTAACATTTTCTGAACAAAATGGCTAGAAGCAAACTTAGCAAAGATTAATGCCAAAGGTGTGTACAGAAGAATCCATGGTAAAACTTCAACAGGAGAGGGCTTGCATATGAAGGTTGGTAATGGTGACCCTTTGAGCGATAAAGGATTCCTGTGCATGTTTGCCTCTTTATAGGGTATGGTGGCTAGAAAAGTTTTAAACAGGTCGACATAAGATCATCTGATCGTGGTTCCCAGGATGGGTACCGCCCCTCCTTTATTATCTCAAAGTATTAAAGTGCATAATATCAGGTAACTGAGGGGCGTCAACTGAATCTTTATGTACACATAGAAGTGCATAATATCAGGTAACTGAGGGGCGTCAACTGAATCTTTATGTACACATAGAAATGGGTGATCTGAATAGATTATCTTGACGCTTCTAAAGGGCGTCAACTGAATCTTTATGTACACATAGAAATGGGTGATCTGAATAGATTATCTTGACGCTTCTAAAGTAGTTAGTCTCTCTCTATTTTCTGTCAGTCCTCTGGCGCAATTCTCTGTCTATTATTTCCTGTATCTTCTGGATTTTTGTTTATGTTTTACTTAAAGTTTCTAAGTAATTATTTATCTCCATAGTTCTGAGTGGTATTCCTTGTGCTTCTAGCTATATGCAGCAGTTGACCCAAGATATGGAACTAGAGGAAACCAGAAGTTATAGGCATCCAGTGGGTTCACCTTTAACTAGCTCACCTCCAGGTTTGTTTATTACTCTTTATTGGCTGAAATTTGTGTCCTTTTTAGCCTTAAACCGTGTTTCATGCTGCAAGTTTCATTATTCTGACATACTGGATTGGATGCTACGACAACAGGTGCCTGGGCACAAATCGGCAGCCCAGGTGAGAGCAGTCCACATACTGGATTGGATGCTACGACAACAGGTGCCTGGGCACAAATCGGCAGCCCAGGTGAGAGCAGTCCATTGCAAGATATTAGTAGGTCTCCAGTGGACACTCATCTTGGGGGAAACCATTTGCCTGGATTGGCTTCTGTACTTTCCCCCCTAGTATCCAGCTCTATGAAGATTGCACCTATTGGAAAAGAGCAAAGGAGAACTAATTATACTGACCCAATGTTTGCCAAAACTAGTGCATCACAAGGGATGTCATTTCAACATCCTCGCTCCTTTCCAGATAACAGCAGTGGAATAATGCAGAACATGGGCTCAAGCCCCAGAAGTCTGTCTTCTTTTGGTCCCTCAACTTTTAATGCATCTGGCATTGGAACTTTGAGTGGACCGCAGTTTCTATGGGGCAGTCCTACTCCCTACTCAGAGACTTCCCAGTCTTCTGCTTGGAAATCTCCATCTACAGGACACTTATTAACAGCCAACGGTCATGGGCTGGGAAAATCTCAGGGAGTTCTCTACCCTAATCACCCTGGCGCCTTCCTTGCTTCATCACAAAGTCACCATCATTCTCATCATATAGGGTCTGCTCCATCTGGTTTTCCTTTCGAGAGGCACTTTGGTTACTTTCCTGAATCACCAGATGTTTCTTTCAAAAGTCCAGTTTCCTTGGGAGGTGTTGGAACAAGCCAAAATGAGGGAAATTTAATGATGAATTATGTTCGCCGTCCAATAAATCCTGCGGCTTCACTATCAGGAAACATCTCCGAGACTGGTTCACCAAATTTCAGAATGTTGCCATCACAGAGAATGGGGCCTGGCTTTTATGGGAGTGTGCCATATCCTGGCTATGGAACCATTGGCTTTGAGGGTTTATTAACTGAACAAAGCCGTAGTCGGCGAGTTGATAACGGCGGGAGCCAACTTGATAGCAAGAAGCAATATCAGCTTGATTTGGAAAAGATTGTCAGTGGAGAAGATACAAGGACGACTTTGATGATAAAGAACATTCCAAATAAGTATGATCTTTTAAAGGAATCGGAATATAAGCTTGGTTTGTGCATGATATATTGATCTTAATTCCTGCTGTTGATCGCTGCTTCAGGTACAACATCGAAGATGCTGCTGGCAGCTATTGATGAAACTCACAAGGGGACTTATGATTTTGTTTACCTGCCAATAGATTTTAAGGTGATGAGAATTATGTTCATTTCTTCCTGACAGTTGATCGTACGTATAAATGTTTAATAACAGTTAATCTTGCATATGCCATATCTTGTTCTTGACCTCAGCTATTTGTTGGCCATATGTTTGTGCAGAATAAATGCAATGTCATATGCCATATCTTGTTCTTGACCTCAGCTATTTGTTGGCCATATGTTTGTGCAGAATAAATGCAATGTCGGTTATGCTTTCATAAACATGGTGTCTTCTATTTGTTGGCCATATGTTTGTGCAGAATAAATGCAATGTCGGTTATGCTTTCATAAACATGGTGTCTTCTTCTCACATTGTCTCATTCTACCAGGTAATTTCCTCAATCCCATCTTGTCTTCTATACTCCAGTGAGAGTTGCTAGTGATGTATAGCATGAGCCAGCATTTTTTCACCAATAAAACATAAATCTTGAAACCCCAACAGTGTTTTATCTATTATTAGTGAATCTTAACTTTTATCTATCTGCATAGCTCAAATTGAAAGCTTTATTAAACACTTCTGTACTTATTAGACATTCAATGGGAAGAAGTGGGAGAAATTTAACAGCGAGAAAGTTGCATCTCTGGCATATGCACGAATCCAGGGCAAAGCAGCACTTGTCAGTCATTTCCAGAATTCAAGCTTGATGAATGAGGATAAACGGTGCCGTCCTATTCTGTTCCAAGGATCAGAAGCTGCTGATCAGGTAAAATAAGTTAAAAAGATGCTGAAATTTACATAAATTTCATAGTTCTTATAGTTTAAAATACAATGAGTCACAAATGCATGTGAAAGTTTGGCTTGCTGAAATTTACATAAACTTCATAGTTCTTATAATTTAAAGTACAATGAATCACAAATGCATGTAAGAGTTTGGCTTGTGTTTGAATGTCCAATTTTACTATGCCTTAGATGTTTGTTACACAACCCATGACACGAAGATGCACATAGTAATACAATTTTGTGATATTCACATAAAAGATGCATATGCTTTAGTCCAAAACTAAAGTTTCTCATATGACCCTTAACTTGGTGATCTTGGCATTTATGCTTGAGTACCAGTTTGCCAGTTTTCAATGTATAAAAGTAATTCCATAAATTAGTGATTTTCCTGTTGTTTCCAGAAGTTAGTAAATTCAAAATCAATTGAGATGTTTCACCCGTTCAACAGAGGATATAATGCCAACTAGGAGTGACAATAGGATTATGATTAATGTAGCAAAGAGGACAAGAGATAGGCCTAAGATAAATTTGTTGGAAGCAATTAATAAGGATATGATGATGGTTAAAATAGGAGATAGCTTACACAGCTTGATTGAAGAAAAAGGATTCACGGAGCCAGTCCCAAACACTGAGAAGAAGGCTTTGTTGTTTGTCTGTTTGTTTGTTTGACTATTTCCATCAGTCTGTACCATACTACATGCTCTCAATGCTGCCCTTCCACTACACCAGACCTAGGAACTTGTGATGAAGGTTGAGGGTTATAATTTTATACTAACATGAGGTTGAACGCCTTTTTCATGGGTCAAAACCTGTTCTGTTTTATGCAATAGTACCTTCTTTCTAATATCTGCTTTCAACTTGTGTTTGGTGGGGTTTTAGCGTGGGTTGCTTTGATATATCTTGAAGTGTATGCTATAACTCTGAGATTGTGGTGAATGTTGAGGGTTTTCCAACACTAAGCAAATGAACATACGAGATGGCTGAATTATGTTTCACTAGACAGGGTCTGTTGGATAAAGTTCTTTTATGCAGAACATTCTGGTGGGCTTTTGTGCTTCTGTAACTAAATGATCTTTCAAATGAACTCCTGATAGCAATATTAACTCCATCAGTAATATGGGCTTTTGTGCTTCTGTAACTAAACATTGAACATTTGTTGTTGCATACTCTCCATCAGTATTTTCAAAGACAACATATATTGTACTTCCTTCTATATTTCCTTAAGTATCACATGAAAATTCATCCTTTCAAGTTTGAAAATATTTATTCACCTCAAATTGTGCATAGAGGACAAAGTATATTCAGCTGCCTTTTCACAAAATCTAATAGTTTTGTAAGATTAGTTTACTATTTACCACCTTTCACATGTGAATAATAAGCCAACCAATTCACATCTCAGCTATACATACATTTAGAAGAATGCATACATGGCCTTTCTAGATTTGTTATGGATGTCATATTCAACATGTGTTCATGCGATAGCACGATTGTCATCTCCGTTTTTACTAATCTTACCTTCGAGGTATGAGTTAAGATGCAATGTTATGCAGGAACTATTCTCACCAAATGGTATGGAAGTTCGTGCATTCGATCAAGATGCCAGTGTCTTTGGAGACTCACCAGAAAGCTCAATGAAGAAAAGCCAAATCGAGAACCCTGGTGGAATTATAGAAATTTGAGAAAAGCAAACCAGGTGCATGGGGTACTAACTGTCACAAGTGTACAAAATAAAGTTTGTTTTTTGGGGGGTTTGAGAAATATGCAGCTGCAAATGTACAAAAGGGCGGAGCTGCGTTTAATTTGTATAGCTGACAGCGGTTACATGCTAGACCTCGTAAAGGAATAGGCTGGAGGAACCATATAGATTCTTCCGCTTGCTTCTTTTGCTCTCTCCTGGTGCATTATTTATGTAAGTTATCATGGAGATTGGAAGGGTATATTATTCACTGGGATGTAACTGGATTTGTGTAGATTTTTGGTCCTTTTCTTTTGGGGAGTTGTTTTATGTACCGAGTACAAGTCTATGAGAAACTGTTGATTTTGCGTTGTACAGATGAAACTGAAATAATGAAGGGATATTTATGCAACTATCTCTATTGGTCGTCCACATATTAGTGTGTAGAATTTTGTTTTGATTTGTACGATGTTTGGAAAATATTTTTCAGTTGTGTTTCTTTAGGAGAAAAGTAAGAAGTTGCCATCCTGTTATCTGCAAAGTGCTATTGAAATTATACTGATTTGCTAGACGATGGTACATGGGGTACTGAAGCGTTCACTGGTCTCAATGTTATGCTTTGTGTGTTGTCAATATTTACAGAAACTCGCAGGTTGCACGGATATTCCAAATCTCTTGTTTGAAATTATCATAAAATTTGAACGCTTAACACTAATGCACTCCCTCATAACCTTTTATTGTGCCAGCTGTTTATTCATGCTACTTCTCGTATTCTCTTTTATTGAATATTTATTTCCTATTCCCCATTTTAAAAGAGTAGTTGTTTCCGATAGAATTATCACTATATTTTGCTAAACTAAACTCATTTTCATTTAAACCTTGCTATTTATTTGAACATGTGTACGCTAATATTTTTTTATTAAGACCCATGCATCGTGCAGGTAAACCACTACTCTTGGCGTCAAAAACTTTAACCAGAACTTTAACCAGAACTGCTCATGATCTAATGACCATCTGTTATATCCTTAAATCAGTGCAAAAACAAAAGTAAAAGTTTAAAAATAAACAATGAATACACACTGATTCAAGAATTTTCTCTTTTTTGAAATTCCAGGCTGTCCACTCGACTGGATCCTTTAACTTCCACCCTTTTTTCACTTCCCCATATATTAATTATTAGTAAAAGGGTGCAAGTGTTCGTAGTTCTAGTGCATGCAATGTTCGTAGCTGACTCACTGCCAGGTCACTCGGGGCTTCTCCCAGTAAAAGACCTAAGCTTTGTCATTTATTATTAACATCCTATGACAAATTTTCAAAACCATCCCTTTTTAAAATTTATTTATAAAAAACGACCCATTTCAATCTTAATTTCAAAAACCGACCCAGTTGGTTGAAACTGGGTCGGTTTTTGAAAATTTTTTTTTTCAAACTTCACGGGAGTTGAACTCCCGTGAAGTTTTGTTATGAGAAAAAACTTCACGGGAGTTCAACTCCCGTGAAGTTTGAAATTTTTTTTTTCAAAAACAGACTCAGTTTCATCCAACTGGGTCTGTTTTTGTAATTAAAGTTGAAAATGGTCTTTTTTTTGGGAATAAATTTCAAAACCGGATGGTTTTGAAAATTTGTCTTAAACACTGATGAATGCACTTTTTCTCTTTTCTTACATCCTTCTAGTTTCTTGTTAGAGAAGTAACCTTTCCAGTTGGAATATCATTAAAAATACATGAGGTAATAGTTGGTGCGGGTCTAATTACCAAAATCTCCGCCGTCCATTCGAATTTCAAGGGATGAGATACGATCACACGGGACTTCCATTGTTATTTTGAAACCACTCGTCTTAAAACCAGTATTTGAGAGCTACTATTATGATAACGGAAATCCTACAGACTGTATCTCATTCCTTCAAATTTAAATATATGGTAAAGATTAGGGTAATATGTTTTGCTGACGGCTGATTTATTAGTTGTAGCTGAGCATTTAGAGGCAAAAATAGTATTAATATCAATAATGAACGAGTTTAGGGCGCGTTTGTTTCTTTCTTTTGGGAGGAGAAACCCTGTCATAATTCTAACTTTTGTCAGAATTGTGGCAGCTTTCAAGCCAAAACGCCTCAAATTAAGGCGTTTTGGCTTAAAAGCAGGGTTTCTCCTCCCAAAAACTGAAAACAAACGGGCCCTTAGCATTACCTAAAAAAACCACAGAGGACCCCATCCAACCCAAATTTAGCCCTCCGTACATAACTCTGCTTTCTCTTTTGACCATCTCTGATTGCTTACCAATCAAAAAGAGGGAAACGAAGTCATGTGATAATCTCACTACGCACAACTTTTTACAGTACCACAACCCTCTCTATCTTACATTTGGATCTATAAAGCTTTTCCTTAAACATTACTCTCTTCATCACAAAGAGACTAAACTTGTACCACAATCCATCTGATCGACTGTGGTTCGATCATAAGACATAGCTGTCGGTATAAAAGCAGTCAAAGCTCACTGTTTGTGAACTGAAACTCTCATTCTCTCATTTCTATTTGTGAACTGAAACTCTCATTCTCTCATTTCTATTCTCTTGCTGCTTAGTTGAATTTAGAAGAATGGCAAGAGGAGTCACAGCATTACCATCTCTTTCGCTAATCTCAGCTGCACTCATCCTGCTCCTCTTCACCTCAGGTTGTTGATTTCACCTTCATTTTCATTTCCCACCCCCCTTCTCTGAATGATGAACAAAATTTGTCACAATGTACTGGACTCCACTGCACGTCTTCTCATTAGAAGGCAAAATCCTTCCACAGAAAGTACTGATCTCTGCTTATTTATTTTGGCAGGATCAACTGTAACATCAGCTCAGTCACAGGTACTCAAAGAGAGGATATTTTACAGAGTATCCTTCATTTTCATTTTCTCACCCTCTTTTTCTGCTGTAATCTTCAATTTTTCAACTTTTCAGTGAAATACTACAGGGAGAGTTTATGTAATTTATCCGGGGAAAAAAATGTTGCGATCTGGATACTGATTCCCCATAAAAATTGCACGTTTACTAAGCATCAACTTTTTTTTTGTTTTTGGCAGAAAACTTGGTGTGTTGCAAAGCCTTCTTCAGATGAAGCAACTCTTCTCGCAAACATAAACTATGCTTGTTCTCAGGTTGATTGCGGCATTTTGCAGAAGGGTTCCAATTGCTACTATCCTGATACTCTCATGTCTCATGCTTCCATCGCAATGAATCTCTACTACCAAGCAAGTGGAAGGAACAGCCCCCCCTGCCACTTCAAGGATTCTGCTCTCGTTGTCGCGACCAACCCGAGTAATAATTTCTGACAATTTTAGATCATATTTCAATATGGGTTACTTGCATATACACTACCAGCTCTTGAGGGGGTTAGCTACTTACTACCTGTGAACTTTTTTATTAGCACTAGAGTACCCTCTGATAATCATAAATTGTTCTCTCTCTATTATCTGTATCGGTACTACTTAGGGGTATATGCATTTGTAGGAGATCTCTCTACAACACCTATAAAATAATACGTGTCACTTGACATTACAGATAACCGAGAGATAACTCTGTTTGGACATTAGAGTCTAGTGCTAAGTGCAGAGCTTCGGGGTCATAAGTTGCTAATATCTATAGTACGGAAAGTGTATTTGAAGTTCGTCCTTCCAGTTTTAGGGTTCTTCATCACCTGAACATTTATAAAATGTGTTGATCTTGTTCGCAGGTTTTGGTAGTTGCGCTTATGCCTGATATGCATTTGATCTATAAACATGAATTGGCTCTTGTTATTCTTGTTTTACGGTTTGCTCAAATTTTCTCTCGAGTACAGATTGCAGATGGCAGAATAGAAGATATATTCATCACTAGTATGTGTCATTGTTATTCCAGTATGAAAATCTTTTTAAGTCAGTCATTTTTATTGAAATGTGGTTGGCACATAGAATTACATCGGCAAGTTTGTATCATGGCTCTGTTTAAAACTTCTGTTATCACTTTTCAAGACTGCAAACAATAAACTTCTTTCAAGGAAACACATGATGATGCAATTTTCATAACATACGGTATGGCAATCCTAGAAATGTACTGAGCCTTCATCGACGGAGCAACAAAAATTGGCAAACTTCGTCCAAATTTTTAAAGAGGCTATAATAACTCAACAAGAGAGTTCTGACTCGTATGGGATAAACTGCATGACAAACTACAACGTTATAACCCTACATGGTTATACTATTAAAAATATATTGCAGATGTGAACCGAATGTCATACAATGAAGTTTTTGCAAGGAAACACCTCAAGGTATAGAGTCTTCCAACATACAATAAATAAATTTAAAAAAAAAGAAAAGGTTGGATACAACAATCCTTGAAACTGAATCATACATTTTACCAGCGTTGATCACAGAGAGGCAACAAACACTTTGAACTTTTATAGTTTGCCAACATTCTGAAAACTATAAAATATACTCATAAATAGGTTATACCCTTGAACCCTGTAGCCTGGATCAAGTACACTCATGACGCAAACTCAGGTTTCAAGCATTCCAAAAGCTATCCACGACCTTTAATTAAAATCATATAAACAAATCATTCTGATGAAGTTCATATCAAAGTGACAGAATATAGAACAAATTTTCACTCTAGACCCAAATGAGCTTTTAATTATCAAAATCGACCGTTTTTTTTAATTATCAAAATCGACCCGTTTTATGCCACGTAGGCTTAATCTCGTTTCCTAATTAGTCGGAGTTGCCAACCCCGACTGTTTAGGGTATTACAAATCGGGTTTTAAGGCTTCTAATTGGGGTTTAACAACTCCTAAACAGTCGGGGTTGGCAACCCCGACTAATTAGGAAACGAGATTAAGCCTACGTGGCATAAAACGGGTCGATTTTGGTAATTAAAAAAAACAGTCGATTTTGGTAATTAAAAGATCATTTGGGTCTACAGTGAAAATTTATTCCAGAATATAAGCATCACGTAAGACATATCTGCTGTTTTCTTTGCTATTTATGTCTTCAGTTTAAAGCCGCAGGCTAATCCTCCATAGAATACAATTTTAGCGACAGTGCCCGGTTACGCATTTGAACTCAAATTCTTCGTGAGTGAATCAAAGTACTCATATAGGCAATCGCTGAAATAGACTGCAGCAAGTAAAAAAGTACATTTTCTGCCAACTGATTAGCGACTAGGGGTGGAAATGAACCAAATAATTAACAAATAGTTCGATAATTGTTCGAATAACTATTCCGCCATATTCGATTCGGTAGTTCATTTACCACTAAACAAATATTTTTTAGTATTCAAGTTTATTAACAAATATAATTAACCAGACGTATATTTGATTTATTTGTCTATCAAATATTCGTTTGAATTTTGATCACAACTTATTATTTGTATTATTGCACATATGATGTTATATTTTTAACCCACTTACTATTTCTACTTAAGTTTTATATACTGGTTTTAAGACTTAAATAATCTTAAATCTGTTTTCTAATTAAAATTTTGATTTAAATATATATACATCATATATTATAAAGGAATAATTTTTATTTATGAATTTTAATACTATTTGAAAATCAAATTCTTTAGAGGAATAAATATACTTTGATATTCGATAAGTATTCGTGAATATTCATGAATATTTATCAAATACCAAGTATTCGAGTTCGAATCCGAAAAACTAGATATATGAATATTAAAGTCTGCATTCGAATTCGATAATTTTAAACAAATACAAATACGAACACCTTAGTATCTGATTCGATCGTTTACCACCCCTATTAGCGACAAGGAAATTAGAACAAAGCTTGATTACATGCTAAGTACTCTCTCCAACATCTTATATTTCTCAACTCAAGCTTATAATTCCAATAATAGTACACAATGCTTAAACTGAGAAATTACAGCTTTGAAATTTCAAGAATAAGCTTAACCTGTGTATTAAACGCCTTTCCGGTACTCCAGTTGTTTTGTATGCTCTAAAAGGACCTGATCCATATAGCAAAACATATGACTGGTTACTAATTCTTCAATGGTTTGAAATCAACATGCAAGCAACTTCTTAAATATGATGATGTGAGAAAAATAAATGACTGATGGAATGTGATTAACACATAAAAGGAGAGCAAGTGGGGCATCACTTCTCGAATGTAATGAGCTATTGCTTTGCATCCTTCGATTGCAAGTTGCATGACATTTTCAAATATATCCATAGGCAATTTTGCATCCATCTGAAAAGTGAGACAACAAGATTATAAGTACTTGTGAAAGTAATCTGAGTAAGAATCAAAGTGAAAGTAGGCATAAGCTGTAGCCCCTCTAATCATGATTTAGGACTCGACCAGAAATAAAAAGAATGTCAACCTGCAGATGTAGCTCAAAGAAGAGGGGGGAAAAGTCCACAAGAGAGAGACTGTTCTGACATAAATTTAAAAGACAGTTTACTAGAAAAAGAGTTCTAGAGAAAGCATTTATATTAAAAGCATATGTTACAATAACATGGGTACCGTTGTGGGTACAGGACATCACTACATCTATAATTTACATCAGATCAATATTGTATTTTCATTCACATGTTGAGGGCTAAAATTCCTACAACATGTTTATATTTCTTCTATAATGTAGATTATAAATTATGCACCTGCTCGTTCTCCTAAAATTCCTACAACATGTTTATATTTCTTCTATAATGTAGATTATAAATTATGCACCTGCTCGTTCTCTAATTTGATTCCAAAAGATCATTTAAAATATCTATAATGTAGATTATAAATTATGCACCTGCTCGTTCTCTAATTTGATTCCAAAAGATCATTTAAAATCATACTTCTGAACCAGATCAGGGTTGAAATGAACCCAACCCATATCCAACGAGTTTCAAGAAGTGAAAGTGTAGGATATACATTAAAAAAATGTCTAATGAATTAAGACATACATATTATATAATTGATCACATTTTTGAATAAATGTCTGCATATGTCCAAGGAGTGTTCAAGGAAGTGTATGTTCCTGTTATGGGTATAGTACGTGCCAAGTACGGTTTCAGTTTCATGATAGAAGTACCCGTGCAACATAGATAAAACAGAATGCTTGTTCCAAGAGATGTCAGAAAAGAAAATATATGTTTGGAGATTGAAAAAAAAAACAGGTTGGACCTTATGAATTTTGTTCAAATTAGCTCCAAACAATATCAAGTACTAACATCAGGAATAGGGTGTTCCAACTCCGAAGATGTACAGCTATTATGAAAGTCTCAGAACGAGAAAGGTAGGGGAAAGAAAGGTAGTAGGAGAAGAATGAAAGATATGGAGCCAAGAGACTAAAATATATGAAGCTAAGGGTTGATGTATATGGTGTCTTTACTCTATCATAATGTGAAGACTTAAACATTAATTCAATAACTTTCTCCACGAAAAAAGGGGGACACATACAAAAAACAGAATTTTTTTTTAGATATAAACCACTTAGCTTAAACAAACCTAAAAAACAACAAGGTAATACTCTCCAGTATGCCAAAGTCTCAATATATTTTGTTGTTTTATTCCATAAATTTATCCAAGATAAAATATTGTCGAGACAAGGAACTTGAAATTACACTAAAGTGTACTAGAATTTAGACCAACCTACATATCATAAATAAAGATACCCAATAACATTCAAGCAGATAGCACAAATGCAGCTATATATTCCTAAAATAGACGCCAATATCGTAAACAGTAGTACAGACCTGAAGAAGAGTCACTTTGTCCATCTTTGCTAGTACCCAACAGTGACATATGGACCCCCAGCATTATCTTCAATGTAGTTCAGATCTGTTCAAAAATAGTCAAAATTCTATAAATTAGATTCCGCTCACCAGGAGTTTAAGTTAGCACAAACATATAGCAAATGGTCAGTATTCTGACCTAGTAAAGCCGTTGTACAGAGATATCCAGCACTACAGGAGGTTACAAGATCACGCATCGGTATCCCTGCCTCTGCTAATGCTAATGTTGCAGCATTGATGCAGGCTGATCTCGTTCCTAAATAAAAGGAGTGACATTCAAACTTAATAAAATATTAGCATTTCAGTTTGTAGGAGAAGCATGAAGATCTATGGTTGAGAAACTCCAAACTTTAACAGAGTATACTCACCACCATCAGCTTGAAGAACTTGAACGAATATATCAATCTGTAAGTATATAAATAAAACATCACATATATTAACCACCATAAAAAAAAACTTCCAAGTAGATTTCAAAAAAACTAACCTGGGATCTTGGCATTAGATGGGTCATAATACATGCCTCAATTGTTTGGCGAATTACTAAAGATATTTCTGTAGACCGCCTTTCATGCACAACAAATTATGTATGTTAATCAATGTGTTACTGTGATATAGTAGCTAATTAGCATAATTTTGCATGTAAAATTCTCTCAATTCATATTCTTTGATGTCATTGTCCAGTGAATGTCCCAACAAAATCTTATAAGGAATATGGGAAGATAAAAAACCCGTTTCATGCAAAGAATATATACAGCAATTTACAGCATGGGGAATATCCACTTCTGAAAGCATAATAGGTGTTTTTCCTTTACCAAGGTTGAAGGAATAACAAGCCATATTTCAAGATGGACGGGACATAGGAAATACTATTTACTAAAAGGTTTATTAATCTACACTGATACTTGAGGAGGTGACAGTAAACAGTGACAGATATGGAGCAATAGAGATGCACTACAGTTAGCTGTTCTAAAAATATTTAAAATAATTATGATCTATAAAGGATGACATATGAAGTATCTAAGTTAAACATATTTCATTAAAGAGAAAATGAAAAAACATTTTGGTGACTTAAAGTTCCATGAGTAAGAAAAAGAGTTGAAAACCATCATCAGGAGAAAATAGTGAATGAGAACAATGGCTTCATGTATGAGATACTAAAACAAGGTAGAGATAGAAAATAGAGGGAAAAAATGTCAATAAAATACATAAGAAATTAGAAATTCAATCTAGCTAGATAAAACTGTGTAATTACAATAGTAAAAAGGTAAGCATAACAGGATTTCAGTAAATATCTGAAAATTGTAAAGCAACTCAAAATTTCTTTCTCATGCTTTAACATCTATATCACATTATTGTAATTTATATAATCATGTAGGTTCACACTTGCCCTCCAAATTTAAATTCTCTTCTCTTATGTCTAGTATGACCTGGTTACCGCACACAATCGGATGGACCAAATTTCTCTAACATCTAAAGACCCTTCACTACCTAACCTCTATTGACAAGAATTTTAGTAAAACTATGACAAGAAATGAACTTTACAGTGCAGATTAATATAAAAAATACCTAGACACTATCATTTTCCCTACCTTTTTCTTTTGAGGAACCAGGGCAAGATGCGTAGGAGATTTATTGACTAGAGAAAATAGATACAGAATAGACGAAGAGGAAGAAGGAGAAGGAGAAGTACAATAGGGGAGATAAGATGAAAAAGTCTAAAATCGCTTTCTGCAAGTTAGCTATCAAATCTAAAAAACTACTTCAAATGTCTGCAGGGAAACCCATTTCCTTATCATTCGCCAAAATTATTTCATGCACCTAACAAGTCCTAGCTCAACCACAACTATGTCTAAATGAACATCTAAACAGATAAAAAGAAATAGCACGCAAAGATATGCTTCAAATATTTTTTATCAAGAAAAGGAAATGCATCAAAATTCATTTTATATCTTAAAAGTGATGCACCTGTCTCCCTTGGGTTTTCTGATCCGGTCTCCTGTGCTAAAATTAGCCATGCTATACTCGCAGCGTACCTAAATTAAATTTCAGAGGAAGAGAGAACTTTAAATGGAAAGAAAAATCTAAAACAAAATTAGTTCATCGGAGAAAGGAAAATTAAGATAATGTACCAGGGCTTGGTCGTTAATTTGCTGGCTCCTGTTCTGGACCTGTATTGTAAGCAAGCAATTTTACCAGAATGAAGTCAGATATTTAAGGAAAGAGGTTGAATGTGATACAGTGATTTCTTTACAAGATTGACTTCTTAAGGATCTTGATCTTACAGTTTGATGCAATTCAGGTTATAGATTTGGCAAAAGCACATAGCTTCAAGGCCCTTGACTCTTGCAGACCAAGATTTTGGGATTTAATTTAAAAGGTTTGAAATTTCATGAAAGAGTTTTATTTAGCTTTTAACATTAAATGATGAGAAGAGAAAGCTTACATAGCTCTTTTTTACTTGCACTAGTCCTCATTAACTAACTTAGATATATACAGCAACTATTAATTCACCTTTAAAGCTTACAAATATGCATCCCATACAGGGCAAAAAGTTCCTCGGTACGTTGTTTTAATACACTTACATTGCACAAATAATAAGGTAGGTTTCTCAATTGATCTTTTAGATTTATAATAAACCCCTCTCATCTTGAGGTCCATTGGGAGAGCCAATAATGACAAACAGTGGACAATTCTAGTCCAAAAATAGCCCAATTCTGAACTAACAAAAAACAACAATGAAATAACAGAAGAAATATGATTCAAGTTCTAATAAATAAATAAATGTTGACCAAAATTAAATTACACAAACAAGAAATATCAATCATCCTTCTCATTCCATCACTCATCAGGCAACCAATCCCAACAAATAAAGCATACTGAATCACAACCTCCTGAAGAACCTCAAACTCACAATAACAACTAAAAGTCATTGCCCATCATAATGCACATACTTTCTTTGTAATGATTCTTTGTGATATGTAAGACAAGATTCTCAATGGACTACAATTTACATTGAAAGAAACAATAACCAATTATTACTTAACCACAAAAAATTCAACTAAACTTTCCATAATTAAAGAAAATTTATGGTTTTGAGAAGGATGCACTAAAATGACTAAGCTTTGATGACTGATTTATGGACAACAACCTAAGTCAACCAAATGGGCATAAAATAAAATCCTAACAAAACTGAAAGGCACCATCGATGAAGAACCTCTTAGGAATGATAACCTATGTTGAAAGAAAGACTAACAAAACATTAATTGAAAGGAAGAGTTTCGAACAAAACCAAATATCTAACAAATGATCGTGGTTTCGAGTTAAAATTGTTGACTTCTAACAGTAACAAACAAAATCAACCAATTTTAGTCTACAATCCAATTATTTAACCTTTTGGAGAGAACTATTCTTGACATGGTATCAATTGCACAAGGTCCTCTGTTCAAACATCATACTTGTGATATTTTAAAATTTATTTATTTATCTCCCATTTATTTTGTCCTTCTAAGCGAAGTCCAAACCTTGAGGTCTGCTTAACTTTAGGATAAAATGCTTCTTGAACAAAATGGAGATTAAAATAAAATGATAACAAATAGAAAAACATCAGAGATGACCAACCTCTCGAGGCCCATAGACAGCAGCAATGACCTTAGTGTTCCCCATCTCAAACAAAGCGGACCTGCATTCATCCCAAAACTCAAAACCCACTCACTAACTGTTTATTCCACTCTTTTTGCACAATAATATTTTTACAAGAGTAAATTTTAAAATCCCCTAAGAAATTCAGAAAGTTACACAAACTTTGGCATTGTTTTTTTTTTGTCGGCAACAGATGCATGCCTAGTCAATCTCTTTATCATCTACTTTAAAATGGGTTTTGTGAAACTCCCCAAAGTCTAGGGCGTTTTCTCTAATTCTCAAAGTTCATAGGGTTTAATGAAATTTATTCACATACAAAAAATCAGTATGTAATCAAAACAAAATGGGTAAACTTAAAATTTCATATCAAATTAAAAAAGGAAATCACGAGAGAGAGAATTTTGTGAGTACTTCATTTGGGCGGCGGCCATCTAAGCGAAATCCTGTGAGCGGATTCACGTACTCCATTACTGCGCTGTGGAGTTTTCTCTGTAATTGAAGGGGACAAATTTGGGAACGAGGGTTTATGGTTTTAGAAACCTGGAAGCAATGTGATCGGGTCGGATCCAATGCGATCGGAAGTGAACCCGAGTTCATTGGAGCTCACTCATATCTGACCTGATTGAATCGGGTCTGAAACCCGTTTACTTTTCTCACCTATAACATCCTTTTCATTTTCCCATTTTTTCCCCCAGAGAAGAGAAGGAACCAAATCTAGTACTGAGTTACTCATATTCCAATTCCTACACAATTAAATTTGGATGGGTAATTTAAATGAATCCAAATTTGAAAGTTTTCTGTATTTGGTGAATTTTCTTAGAATACTAACATATATATTTAGTTCAATTGAACAACTTTCTACATTATGTGACTAGAAGGAGATGTTAAAAATTTTCAATTTCATGATCATCCATATTCATGTTATTGTGGAGTTTTCAAATAAAAATGTTTAATGATATGTGCGCCTATGTATCCGTATATACATACTTATACGGATATGTTATATATCTAAATAATATACTGAAGTCCTCAGACATGTTATGCATCTTCGATAAATGAGAATTATGCATCTTCAGTCATAGGGGGAAAGAACCGATGAAGCCAGTTTAGTAACGTTTGATGAATTTGGTTCGGACGCATGCACATAAAATCGATATTACGTGCTGCGTATCTTGATTAACTAAACTGCGTATCCTTTTCATCTTGAACAAACAACTGTATATACTTTTACAGGTTCAGGAAAGACCTGTAAATTGAGTAAACTGGGGAATTCTCAAATGTGTAGCAGTGCCGGTTTAGCTTCAGATATTAATAGTCGAAATGTTATAAAAAATGCGAGCAGTTCATAGCTATATATTATTTTTTTACTTTTTTAACATGTGTGTTGCGATGCGACAGAAATTTTCACTGTGTTATCAATTTCTGGGGATGAAATATCAAGATTATAGCATATGAAACTTTGCTAGCACAAGCATAGGTTTGGCAAAAGTAAAATCCTATCAACAGCCAATTATTATAGATAAAAACTGACAGTAAAACTGTACACAACTGTCATAAGCTTAACTAGGTCTCTAGTAATTTAGTCTTCCTATTCAATTTCAAAGAAATTTCCGGTTATACATGCATTTTACAGTAGTATACAATTAAACAGGTAATGCAATATGATTACTCTACAAAATTTAATTTCTCTTACCAGCCTTTTTACGATCAGTTTAAAACTGTTGGATTACTGCAGTTATAAACACTGACATGAAGTGCAGTATAATGCTACAGCAATGATCATAAAGGTGAATGTATTTACAGAATCTTTTTTCTGGATAACCCAGCGCGGAATCGTACCCAAGATCGTGGGAGCCATAATGGAACCTTCCAACCGTCCAGGTCACTGACGGCGGGTAAAGAAAAAACATATTTCGAAAGAGAGGTCATAATCTTCACATTCTAAAATTAGACACAAGCTTTAATAATGGTTTTTGATAAGCCAACTATTACCGCTAGGACATGCCGAATGCAGAAAAAATTTTCAGGTAAATCCTCTTGATTTTCAAGAAAGAGAGAGCCTACCTAAATAGCATTAGGATTGTTTAATTCACTGATGCTCTATTATTTTCTGTTACCTGTTCTCTTTAGCCAGCGTGGGACAATGAGGGACAAATTCAGTGAAAATGATAGCGTCAATCTCTTAATTGAGATAAAACCAAAAGATACAATCCCATAGGATACACATGGGCTATTTCTATTGGCTTGGTTCAGATCCTCTGAAGATGTCTTGATATTACAGAAGTATCTATAATCAGGCTAGTGGCTCTAAGAGTGCCAATGGAATAAAAGATGGAGATTTCCATTTGATAAGATAACTGCCTTCTCATTTTTGTCCTCTATTTCCATGACTCTGGTATTTATACTCCCCCACAAACGTAACCCCTCACATCCGAAACACTTGCATTCAGCTAATCTCCTCTTCAATGGCTTCAACAATGGCTCTGTCCTCTCCCTCATTGGCCGGAAAGGCGGTGAAGCTCACCCCTTCAGCAGCCTCCAAGCTCATGGGCAACGGCAGAGTGGCAATGAGAAAGGCCGTTGCAAAGTCTGTGTCCTCCGGAAGCCCGTGGTACGGCCCAGACCGTGTCAAATACCTCGGCCCACTCTCCGGGGAGCCCCCATCCTATCTCACTGGTGAATTCCCTGGTGACTACGGGTGGGACACCGCCGGCCTCTCTGCAGACCCCGAGACCTTTGCCAAGAACCGTGAGCTCGAAGTCATCCACTGCAGGTGGGCCATGCTCGGGGCTCTAGGGTGTGTCTTCCCTGAACTCCTCGCCCGCAATGGCGTGAAGTTCGGTGAGGCTGTCTGGTTCAAGGCCGGAGCGCAAATTTTCAGTGAGGGCGGTTTGGACTACTTGGGCAATCCTAGCCTCGTTCATGCTCAAAGTATTCTGGCAATCTGGGCTACCCAGGTTGTGCTCATGGGAGCTGTTGAGGGTTACAGAATCGCAGGTGGGCCTCTCGGGGAGGTGACTGACCCTCTGTACCCCGGTGGAAGCTTCGACCCGTTGGGGCTCGCCGATGACCCTGAGGCTTTTGCTGAGTTGAAGGTGAAGGAGATCAAGAATGGGAGATTGGCGATGTTCTCGATGTTCGGATTCTTTGTGCAGGCTATTGTGACTGGAAAGGGGCCACTGGAGAACTTGGCTGATCACCTTGCTGATCCTGTCAACAACAATGCTTGGTCTTATGCTACCAACTTTGTCCCTGGCAAGTGAATTTGAAAAAAAAAAATCTGATTTCTCCCGGTCGATCCTAGGTCCAAGTTCTATTGACATAAGAGCTGATGCTCTTACTAGATATTGGACGTTAAGATTGTTGGGAATGTACACTACCTTGTGCAATATGAATCTTGTGCTTGTTTTTCAATTGGCTTCTCTTATAGATTTTAAGCAAATAGTCACTTCAAAATCTGAGCTAATTCTCAAAGTTATTCATAAATGTTCATCTCACGCATATTTACAGAATTACATAAGGAGGGAGAAATCCTTCTTCTCGAATTAGATTCCTAAAACGAATCATTGAAAAGTATCATTCAAGCAGTTCAAATTTGAACAAGATTCGTTCTCCTAGTTGTTGAACTTTATTTTTGCGGTCCTGCACACATGCACATACATAGTTTAATCCCAAACGGAAAAAGTTTGAGGAATGGATATGTTAACAAGAGCATTTACTGAAACTTTTTGAAAGCGTTCCTTCGTCTATCTAAATTCAACCTTCATCCCAGACAAGTATTACACCGCAATATTTAGTCTCACATTGGTGGGTGGGTGAGAACTTGAAAAGTTTATAAGTGACATTGTGGGAATTCAAGTATTGTGAACGCAAGTGGTGGGCCACGAACGAATTGTTTCCGCGTGAACACGTGATGAAGAGTACGGACTCGTGAAAGAAGCGGAGCAAAGGCAAAATGCTGGCTCGCGGAGCAAAGGCAAAGTGCTGGCCCACCCAAATTAGCTATAGCCTATATATAACTCTTTTAATCGTTCCTAGGGTTTTGAGCAGGCAGAGGTGCAGGAGATTTTGGCCTTTTTTTATTAAAGGCGGCTGCGGAAGAAAAAGAAGACAGACTTTGGTTTCTCTTGGCGCTGTGCAGGGGAATTGTTTGTTCGGCTTTGGGTATTTTTTAGCAGGAGTTTTTTTTGGTGCAGTCTCTTTTGTGCATCTTTTGAGAGAGATTTTGTGAGGGATTTGAGAGTTTGTTTGAGGGTTTAGTTTGAGAGTAATTGTAAACCCTAGTTGTATTCTGTCCCTCTATTAGTAGATCTCCCCGTCCTTGCCCCGTAGACGTAGGCAATTTGCCGAACCACGTAAAATTGGTTGTACTGCTATTTGTGTGATTTGTAATAGCATTTAGGTTCCCTCGACGCGCAGTCCTAGAGCTGACGAGAGGAAGAGCTAATATCTCACTTTGATGAGATATTAGGCTTCAGATTCTTGTTCCCTTTGAGAAACAAGAATTCTTATTGTGACCTGACTATCTTGTTGTGCTGCTGAAATTTCCGCTGCGCGCAACAAGTGGTATCAGAGCCCAGATTTCAGATCTAGGGTTTTTTGGTGGAGGAAGATTCTTGTGTGAAGCTTAGTTCTTAGAGTTCTCGGCTTCGGTGGAGATAGTATTAGGAGTTGTCGTTGGAGATTTCGCTTTCCTCGTGTGGTTAGGAAATCTATTTGGAATCCAATCTAGGGTTCAGTTGGGTGGTTCTTAATTTCTATCAAATTTATTCTTTCTCTACAATTTTGGAGTTAGTTCGCAATGGGAGAAGAAGGTGAAAGCAGCAAATCGATGGCGAGTACAATACAAGTTGGTTTTCAGAACACTAAGATTAGTGTGGTAAAGTATGACGGTAAAATCAACTTTGGTTTGTGGATGAGCGATGTACAGGATGCGCTCAATGCTCAGAATCTGGAAGAGACCATCATGATCCACGAGAGGCCACCTAAATATGATGAGGCGATATGGGATAAGATGAATAGGAACGCGTGTGGGGTGATCAGGTCCTGTTTGGAACATGAACTGAAATATGATGTGATTGGGGTGACGTCTGCAATGAAGATGTGGGAAATTCTCAACAATAAGTATCTCACAAAGAGTGTTGAGAACAGGTTGCACTTGCTGCGAAGACTCTTCAGATTTCAGATGTCCAGAGGCACCTCACTAGCGGCTCATGTGAACAACTACACTAAGTTGTTGTCGGACTTGGCGAATGTTGATGAGAAGATATCGGATGAGTACAAGGCGATTATTTTGTTGGGCTCCTTACCCAATGAGAAGTATGATACATTCGTGCTCACTTTGTTGAACGGGAGATCTTCTATCAACTATAGTGAAGTGACTAACGCTTTGACAAATTACGATTTGAGGAGAAAGGATAAGGAGACTTCCCGTGCTAGTACTTCAGGAGAGGCCTTGTCGACGAGAGGTAGAAGCCCATATCCGAAAGGTGGTAATAGAGGAAGGTCAAAGTCAAGAAGCCGCCACCAATTAGCAAAGAACCAATGTGCATTCTGCAAGGATCAGAGACATTGGAAGAGAGACTGCCCGAAGCTTAAGGAGAAAGAGAATGGCAAGAAAAAGGGCCTGAAGGCCAATGAGGTGAATATTGCGAAAGACGATGATTCCGATGATTCGTGCTTTTCTCTACTGATTACTCCGGAGGTGAATCATGTGGATGCATCAGATTGGATGCTTGATTCCGGCGCTACTTTTCATGTGACCCCTAGGCGAGACTGGTTTGCATCTTTTGAGAAAGTCGACGGGGGCGTTGTTGTCATGGGAAATGATCAATCCTGTGGTGTTTGTGGGATAGGTACCATGCGGATTAGGATGCACGATGGAGTAGTCCGTGAGTTGAAGGAGGTGAGATTTGTTCCTCAACTGAAGAAAAATCTTATCTCAGTTGGAGCTTTGGAGGCGAAGGGATTCAAGGTGACTTTCGAAAACGCTGTAGCGAAGGTTACTAAGGGATCATTGGTGGTGATGAGGGGAGTCCGCAATCGGAATTTGTATTATCTGAAGGGAAGCACCGAGATTGGCCAGGTTGCTTCGGCTATTTCAGAAGCGGACATGAGCAGACTTTGGCACTATAGGTTGGGGCACACAGGTGAAAAGTCACTACAGGCATTGTGCAAGCAGGGGCTATTGAAAGCCAAGAGTGGGAAGATGGAGTTCTGTGAGCACTGTGTTCTGGGCAAGAAGACAAAGGTGAAGTTCGGGACTGCCATTCATCAGACGAGGGGTATCCTGGACTATGTGCACACAGACGTTTGGGGTCCCACCAAGATTGTATCACTTGGTGGTCGACATTGGTTCGTCACTTTTGTAGATGACTATTCTAGGCGTTGTTGGGTGTACACCATGACGAAGAAGAGTGAAGTCCTAGATTTGTTTGTGGAGTGGAAGAAGAGATTGGAACTGCAGACTGGGAGAAAGATCAAGACGTTGCGATCCGACAACGGTGGTGAGTATACTTCTGACCCCTTTCAGCAGCTATGTCGAGACGAGGGCATAGAGAGACACTTCACAGTTAGTCATACACCGCAGCAAAATGGGGTGGCAGAGAGGTTGAATCGGTCTTTACTGGAGAAGATCCGATGCTTATTGTCGCAGAGTGGTTTGGAGAAGATCTTTTGGGCTGAGGCACTTACATATGCGAGCCACCTCATTAATAGGCTGCCTTCATCTGCGATTGAGGGGAAAACCCCTATGGAGATGTGGTCGGGAAAGCCAGCACATGACTATGACCAGCTCAAGGTATTCGGGTGCCCTGCATATTATCATGTTAGAACTGATAAATTGGAACCTCGAGCTAGGAAGGCCATATTTGTAGGATTCAAGCGTGGTGTCAAGGGATACAAGCTTTGGGATCCAGTTGATAAAAAGATTGTGCTGAGTAGGGACGTCACGTTTGATGAAGCTTCTATCTTGAAGCTTCCCAGCTCTCATCAGGTGGAGAGCGACCCGACGGAGGAGATATCGCAGGTGGTGGAGATCGATGCAGCTCCACATTGTCCAGATGGTACAGTATCCATGCAGGTGCCGACTGAGGTGACGCCAGGCGAGCACGACGATGACACGGAGGATACGAGTACAAATGTGCAGGATCAGGAACCGACGGCTCAGGTTCAGGATTCTATTGCGGCTAGGAGACAGAGGAGAAACATACAGATGCCAGCACGGTATGCCGACACAGTTGCGTATGCACTTCCGGTGGAGAGTATCGATGAGTTAGTGCCTACTACATTCAGAGAGGCCGAGCAGAGTTCGGAGGCTGATTCGTGGCAGGTGGCTATGCAGGAGGAGATGGAATCTCTTCATAAGAACGATACATGGGAGCTTGTTGAGCTTCCAAAGGGGCGGAAGGCAATTGGTTGCAAGTGGGTATACACGAAGAAGGAGGGCATTGAAGGCACTCCGTTGAGATTCAAGGCTAGGTTGGTTGCGAAGGGCTATGCACAGGAGGAAGGTATTGACTATAATGAGGTTTTCTCTCCGGTGGTGAAGCATTCTTCGATTCGGATTTTGCTAGCTTTGGTGGCACAGTATGGTTTGGAATTAGATCAGTTGGATGTGAAAACGGCATTTCTTCATGGTGATCTTGATGAAGAAATATATATGACTCAGCCATTGGGATTCCGAGCTGCAGGGAAAGAAAAATTAGTTTGCAAACTGAAGAAATCGCTATACGGTTTGAAGCAGTCTCCTCGACAGTGGTATAGGTGATTTGATGGTTTTATGCTTGGTCATTCGTACACTCGGAGCCAGTTTGATCCTTGCGTGTATTTTCGCAAGTTAAAAGGAGGTGTGTATATCTATTTGTTGCTCTATGTCGATGACATGTTAGTTTCCTCTACTTTCAGGTCGGCTATAGATGAGTTGAAAGTTTAGCTCTCAAATGAGTTTGAAATGAAGGACTTGGGTGAGGCGAAGCGCATTCTAGGGATGGAGATCGGCAGAGATAAGAAGAAGGGCAGAATTTGTTTGACACATGTGGCTTATTTGAAGAAGGTTCTACAGCGATTCCATGTTAGCATGGATACGAAGCCAGTTAGTGTACCATTGGGAGCCCATTTGAAGCTTTCAGCTGGTCTTTCACCGAAGTCAGTTGAAGATAGAGAGTTAATGTCGAAGACTCCATATGCGAGTGCGGTTGGGAGCTTGATGTACGCGATGGTATGTACGAGGCCAGATTTGTCACAGGCGGTAAGCATGGTTTCAAGATACATGCATGATCCAGGAGTGGGTCACTGGGACGTCGTGAAATGGATTTTGAGGTACATTCGAGGTACGCTCAATGTTGGTTTAGTTTATGAGCGGGACACTACAGGTGGGCAGTTATGCATT